TTAGCTGACCCTCACTAAGGTGTACAAAGCCTTTTGACCTCTGCCCTCTGACCCACAGGCTGAAGCAGATGTGGCCTCCCTGAACCGCCGCATTCAGCTGGTAGAGGAGGAGTTGGATCGGGCGCAGGAGCGCCTAGCTACAGCCTTGCAAAAGCTGGAGGAGGCTGAGAAAGCGGCTGATGAGAGCGAGAGGTGGGGACCGGGTCCTGGAGGGAGGCAGGTCAGGGGCTACAGGGGGAGGGCCTGTCTCTGCTGGCACTGACCCCACATGCGCTTCTCTCCCGCTTCTCAGAGGAATGAAGGTCATTGAGAACCGGGCCATGAAGGATGAGGAGAAGATGGAGCTGCAGGAGATGCAGCTGAAGGAGGCCAAGCACATCGCTGAGGACTCAGACCGCAAATACGAGGAGGTGATGGCCTTGCCCCACTTCACTCTCACCCACGGTCCCCCGAGTCCCAGTCGGTCACCGCTGACCCACTTCTCTCTCCCACTTCCCCTCAGGTGGCCCGGAAGCTGGTGATCCTGGAAGGAGAGCTGGAGCGCTCAGAAGAGAGAGCGGAGGTGGCTGAGAGGTAAGGCTACCCTGGGGGTGCGAAGGGAGCAGTGGAAGAGCCGAGGGCTCTGCTGTGGGGCACTGTGCACGCTGGTCAGGTAGCTCCCCAGGCCAGAGGCCACCTGGACAAGCCCTGTCCTCTGATCTGTGCCTGCTGCCCCCAGCCGAGCCAGGCAGCTGGAGGAGGAGCTTCGAACCATGGACCAGGCCCTCAAGTCGCTGATAGCCTCAGAGGAGGAGGTAGTAACCTCTCTGGGCCTTTCTAGGCAATGGCACCTTTTCCCACCTCCGTGTCTCTCCTCAGCTCAGCATCTCAGGCTGCTGTCTCTCTCCCGCAGCAGGAATTCGGGCCTGGGGGTGGGGTTGCGGCTTCCAGGCTCACTGCTCTCACTCTTACCACTCTGCTCTTCTCTTTTCTCCTCCACTCCTCCCCCACTGGGCCACCCCCACTGTCCCGCCTCACTGTGCCTTCACACTCCACCCTGGCACACACACCCCTGCAGTAAATGTGGGGACCTAGAGGAGGAGCTGAAAATTGTTACCAACAACTTGAAATCCCTGGAGGCCCAAGCGGACAAGGTAGAAGGGGCGGCGGGCGGCGGGGGGCTGTGAGGACGGGGTTGTGCAGGGCGGAGAAGAGGGCGTAGGGAGGGAGGGCTAGCTGGTTCGTGAAGATCAGCAGGAGCTGAAGGATTCAGGATGAAGGAAGCAGTTTTGCTGACAGCCTGTGTGTGTCTCTTAAAGTATTCCACCAAAGAGGACAAGTACGAAGAGGAGATCAAACTTCTGGAGGAGAAGCTGAAGGAGGTGAGATTGCCCGTGGCAGGAAACTGAGGGTTTGAGACCAGAAAAGAAGGGTGAGTGCGGGGAGGCTCTCTGGAAAGGCCTCTTTCTTGGCCATGCCTCCTATCCTTTCTTTTTTCCAGGCTGAGACCCGAGCAGAGTTTGCTGAAAGATCTGTGGCAAAGTTGGAGAAAACTATTGATGACCTGGAAGGTAAAAAGGATACCCCTCCACACCCGCCCCCATCAGCCTGTCCCTGATCTTACTGTTAAATGAGCTGGATTACCCGGGGCTCCGCAGACTCTGGTGGGCCATGTCCATAGTGCAAGGAATTAGGACAGTCCACCCCACTGCTTCTCTGAGTTTAGAATGAATGAAGAGTTATAAACAGATTGCTGGGGCTGGAGAGCTGGCTCAGTGGTTAAGAAAACTGGCTACTCTTCCAGAGGACCCGGGCTTGAGTCCCAGCATCTACATGGTGGCTCACGAGCTTCTGTAACTCCAGTTCTGGCCTCTCCTGGCCTCTGTTGGCACTATGCGTGCACATGGTACACAGACATGCAGGCAAAACACCCATACATGTGAAAAAAAATTTTTTTTGAGATAGGGTTTCTGTATGGAGCCCTGGCTGTCCTGAAACTCTGTAGACCAGGCTGGCCTCAAACTCAGAGATCCACCTGCCTCTGCCTCCTGAGTGCTGGGATTAAAGGCTTGCACCACTGCTGCCCAGCACATTTTTTAAATCTAAAAATAGAAAACATATTCCTGGGCTTGGAAAGTGGCTCAGTGAGTAAAGCACCGTCCCCCAACGTGAGGATGTGAATTCTGATACCCAGAACGCATGGAAAAGCTAGACATAGGGTCTGTAGCTCCAGCGCTCCTAACACTATATGATAGGAAAGGGGGCGTGGAGACAGGAGGATGGCTAGAGGCTCAACTGGCCTGGCATTTGAAGTGATAATAAGACTTGTCTCAAACAAGGTAGAAGATAAGGACCAACATCAAAGTTGACCTCTGACCTCCACACAGACACCATAGTATACACACACCCACACACCCACCCACCCACCTACACACACACACACACACACACACACACACACACACACACATCATTACATATCCACACCATTTTAAAAATTGGATTCCTGAGGGCTGGAGTGGCAGAGCACATGGGAGGCCTTGGTTTAATGGAAATAAATGAATGAATAAATAAATAAATGAGAAGAAAAAAGAAAAACAGATTCTAGATCCTACTCCAAATGATCCCTTTCCCTGGACAGGATCTTTTTCTTTTTCTTTTTTTTTTGAGACAGGGTTTCTCTGTGTAGTTTTGGTGCCTGTCCTGGAACTCACTCTGTAGCCCAGGCTGGCCTCAAACTCACAGAGATCTGCCTGCCTCTGCTTCCCGAGTGCTGGGATTAAAGGCATGGGCCACCACCGCCCGGCCCTGGATAGGATCTTACTCTGTAGACCAGGCTGGTGTTACAGGCTTGGGCCACCAGCTCCTTAATGCTGATGCCGTTATTGTCCAAGGACAAAAAAAAATCATCTTATTGCATTGTAAGGATACCCCACCCCCTTGTGCTGGGGATGGAACCTCCAGCCTTGTATGTTTTAGACTAGTGCTCTACCACAGACCTGCCTGCAGTCCCCAGATTTCTTTACTGAATCCAGAGCTATTTGATTGTTGGTTTTATTCAGTGCTAGGAATTGAACCTAGGACCTCATAAATGTTAGGCAAGTTCTTTGCCACTGAGCTATATCCCCAGCCACTATTTGATCAAATATCAGGATTTACACAATACTGTTAATGGAAGATACTACTTTGAGCTACACTTGGCAAAACCGGAAATCCAGGTATTGGCTGGTCTGTGGCTACTGCGCTTATCAGCGAAGGTCGCCTTTCTCTTTTATTCTGACAACCCTTTTACTCATTAGCCCCCATGCCTCCTTTTGCAGTCTTCTCAGGCAAGCAGGACCTTTTATCTCCACCTTTAGGACTTTAGACTTTCCTGGTCAGCACCCTTCCTTTCTCTCTTAAGCATGCATGCTTGCCTGCTCAGAGCACCGCCCACAGGCTCCTGGGAGATGCTGCAGCTGCAGCGGGGAGTGAGAAGTTGGGGTGCAGAGGACAAATAGAAGCAGGGGAGAGAAAGGGGAAGAGGAAGCCCTGACTGCCATCTGGCCTGTCCTCCGGCCGCTCTTCTGTCCATCTCTCTGATTCTGTTTTCCATTTCATCATCTTCTCTCCCTTCTCTCCTTCTGCCCTCTTGCCCTCCTCCATCTCCTCCTCCCCTCCGTCTCCTCCTCCCCTCCATCTCCTCCCTCTCCCATGCTCTCCCCTCCCTCCCAACCCCTCTTCGGACTCCCCAGATGAAGTCTACGCACAGAAGATGAAGTACAAGGCCATCAGCGAGGAGCTGGACAACGCACTCAATGACATCACCTCCCTCTGAGTCCACACCGCTGTGGCCTTCTCAGGCCCCCTTCTCTTCTCTCTTTTCATTCTCTCCCGGGGGGGGGGGGGGGGGGGGGGGGGGGGGGGCGGGGGGGGGGGCAGTCAGGAGGAGCACAACGGGCAACATTGCGTAGCCAGGCCCAGGGCAGCCAGCGGAGGGAGCGCCTGTCACTCCTGCCCCCCACTCTGGCACTGGCTCTATCTATCCTGCTCTGTCCACCATCCACTGACCTCCCACCTCCTCTACTGCTTAATAAACTCTGAACTTGGTCTCCACGCTGTTTTCCTGCCCCCTCCCCCGCTCAGAGCTCTTCATCACTGTCCAAGCACTGGTTTACTCCTGAGACCCTGGCTTTTACCCACGTCCTCAGTCTTGTGACACTCAGCCCTCCCACAGAACACTGTGGCCCACACAGATCCTTCTGCATGACACTCCCAGCCTGTCACTTTCTGATAATCAATGCATGTGACACATGGGGGTCTATCAAGCACCACCTCCCTTCTGGTCTGCCGCCCATCACTGACCTTGGAGCACTTAACTGGGATTCCAGAATCTGATGGAATGGCTGGAAGGGAAACGGGGCGGTGAGGCACAGGGGAGGGGCTGGAAGCTCAGAAAAGGTCTGGCGTGAAGTCGGAAAAGTATTGGATCTCAGCAAGAGGGGCTTTCACAGCAGCTGCAGGTCTGTTTTCTGTCCCAATTCTGTCTGTCTGACCCTCCCTTTCCTGGCTGCACCTTTGTCTTCCCTTCTGTTTTCAACTTTCCTAAACCTAAAGGAAGACGACCCCGTTTATGATACAAGCCTCCCCACGCCACGGATACTACCCCAGCCAAGGCCTGGCGTAGGATTTGTGTCTGTCAGTCTACCCATTTGCCCCGGCCTCAGGTCCACAAGTGTCTCCTAACATGTTTGTGTGTGTTGCCTCTCCCTGTCCCTGGCTCCCTCCCTCATGTTCCTTCCTCCCGCTTCCCCTCCCCCACCTCACCTGTTGCTTCCCCTCACAGAGACTTTGGCTAGTGCCAAGGAAGAGAACGTGGAGATTCACCAGACCTTGGACCAGACCCTTCTGGAACTCAACAACCTGTAAGGGCTGGCCCTGCCGCCTACCAGACTATATGGTTGCCTCCTCAGGCCAATAAACTGATGTTCCTGGCATGCCAGGGCCCTTCGAGCCTTCTTTTGGTTGTAGTGCTGGGAAGACCCCTGAATGAGCAGGGCCTGGCTCCTGTCCCTGCAGCGGGATCCCCTTTTTAATGGGAGCTCTGAACTGTGGGTGCTGGACTCAGCCAACAACTGTTTCCTAGTGGTTAGGAAACTGTCCTGGCCTCCAGGCCTCACAGGGCAAAGCCACCATCCATGGCACAACTCTGTTTCAGCCGTCACTGGGCAGACATTCTAGAGGCAAAACTGCAAGAAAGGAGTTTCCTCGACAGGGTGAAGGCGGAAAGGCTCACTCAGTGCGAACTGAAGTTTAGAGGGTGTGGCCAAGCCTGACTCCAACTGCTCTGTGCTCTTGCCCCGACAAGATCCATATTCTAATCCCGAGAAATGCCAAGCTAGTCAGAAAGAGGCACTGTGTGGCTGAGCAAAGAATTTGGGATGGAGGAGCTCATCATGGGTTAACGGGTCAGGCCCAATATCATCACAAGGGGCTCAGAGGGTTAGGAAAAAGCCGAGCATGATGGTGTGGGCCTGGAGTCCCAGCGCTTGAGAGACTGAGGCTAGGACTGAGTCCTGAGCCAGCCTGGGCGACAGAGTAAGACTGTCTAGAAGGGAAAAGAGGAAAGACAATTGTGGGGGTGGGAATAAGGTGAAAGGCAGCAGGTGAAGGTGTGACAGTGGGGCTGAGTCGGGGTACTGTGGGGAAGGGGCCGTGAGCAAGGAGTGCAGGGGGCAGCTCAAATCTGGAAATGGGCGTGTCCTCCTCGAGAAACTCAGGAAGAACACAGCCCACTCACACCTGGACTAGCACATAAAGTTCATCTTGGACATCCCTGCCTCGGGACCTGTAAGAGTGTCACCTCTGAGCTTGTGGGAGTTGGTTTTTTTCCCCTGGCAGCCATGGGAAATTAATAGAACATCCTTTTGATTCAAGGACAAAAGCAATTTATACATGTTTTACTAGAAATATTTATTTTAAAAATAATCGAGATGAGCCAGGCATGATGGTGCGTGCCTGTAATGCCAGCACTCAAGAGGCTGAGGCAGGAGGATAGAGAGTTCAGGGGACTAGATGCGTATTCAGTGGTACAGCACTTGCCTAGTTGGAACAAGATCCTGGGTTCAAACTCCATTACCACACACACACTCAGTTCCAGGCCAGCCTGGGCTATATAGTAAGATCAAGGGGTGTATAGCTCAGTGGTAGAGCATTTGACTGCAAAGTGAGAGCAAGAATATCATGTCAGGCAGTGGTGGCGCACGCCTTTGATCCCAGCACTCAGAGGCAGAGGCCTTCAGGTCTCTGTTCAAGGCCAGCCTGGCCTACAGAGTGAGTTCCAGGACAGCCAGAGCTACACAGAGAAACCCTGTCTCAAGAAGAAGAAAAAAAAGCAGGAATTGAGTCCCATTCTTGCCTTTTCACTATAAGATCCCGTTGCAGTACTTAAGTAAGGAAAAGAAGAAAAGTTAGGAAGATGAGAAAGATTCCTTGTTGGTTGGTTAAAAAGAAGCTGTATAACGGGCAGATGGGTGGGACAGGACAAGGTTCCCAGCATCCTCTAGCTGGCTTCTTCTTAGGCTCCAGTTTCTGTCATTTCTGCTGGGCTGTAGCTGGCTCCGTCTTTGGTCCCACTTCTGTGCCTGTAGAACAGGGAACTAGAATCAGAAACCCAGCCCTGAATGAGCTCATTTGCAGTCCTGGAATTCCGGCTGATACCAAAAAGGCTGTGCCAAGGGAGGGGCCGTGGATACCTGTGCTGCCTCCACAGCTGTATGAGGAGGGCCACGCAGGTGGCAGCAAAGAGGATGCCAAACACCAAGGCCAGGATGTCACCTAGGGGGAAAGGAGGGGCCGTCTCAGGGAGTGCCATGGGTTTCCCTCCAAGCTGGCTTCCTGTACTCCTGACCCCCCCCCCCCATGAGTGCTCAGGCAGCCCCCCAGCGCTTCAGTCTCCAGAACAGACCAGCTGGAGGATGGAGGGGGACAGCAAGAACCATGCAGATAAGCACCATTTTCCCCCTAGCATCGAGGGGAGAGGGATGTTGGGGGAGGGGCATCACAGAAGATTTCTGGAGCTTCATTCTGATAAACTAAACCAGAGATACAAGGAGGCTTGAGGTGGGGGCTGGGGAGAGGGTCCCCTACCTCACCTATCATATTGGTTTGGGGACATTTATTATCCTAGCTCCTGGGCTGAATGATTTACTAAAGGGTGTCCCCCAGCATCAAGAACAAGAGGGGCACTGACTCACCAGCAGCAAGGCAGGAGGAATTCATGTGGACTGAAGAGAAAAAGAGACAAGGGAGTCATGAGTACCTGTGACAAGCTGTGGCACAAATGAAGGCACAGGAAGAGGAGGGGCCCATGGCTAGGGGCTGTGGCAGCGTGGGCTATCCGAACACTGCTCACCTGGCTCCGGGCTGCTGTCCACTCCGGCAGGGAAAGAGGCCTCAATCACTCGCCCATTCAAAGGTTGTGCGGCTCGGAAATTCAGTTGTAGCCGAGAATCATGAGGTCCCCACAGGGAAACAAAGAGAGTATGGAGCTGGGGGAGGGGGGGTCAATAGGTAGTACAAGACAAAAAGAAGCAAGGGGTCCCCAACCCTCTATTCCCTTCACTACATGGCCCCTTGGCCCATCCTCTTCTCTTCCTGCATTCCCATTTTCCAACGTTCCGTGTCAGTACCCCACCCCACTCTCACCTGCTTAGCGCTCAGCTTCACTGTCTGGTTGAACACAGTCCAGATGACCCCCTGGCTGCAGGGAGGTGTGGTTAGAGAGCCTTCATATCTGTAGTAACGGCTGAGGTCCGAGGGCAGCAGTGCAGATACATCCAGACCTGGGATCTCAATCTTGGTGCCTGTGGATAGGGGTTGAGGTCTCTCGCCTAGATCCGGTCCCCGGAAGCTCCCAGCACAAGCATACTTTCACTGCTTCTCACTATGTGTGGTTAATCCAAAAGGCAGTAAAGGGCTTTGGGCAATTAGAGGCGGCCTTTGCACTGCTGAGCCCTCTCTCCAGTCCCAAGAAAAGAGTTCATGAGCCCTCCTTTGAAGCCTTTGTTCTCCTGAGTACACTACCGTATCGTGCAGGACTGCTGACTTAAGCCCAGATTGGAATAAAAGGAGGAAATGGAGTTGGGATGTAGTTCAATGGTAGAGGCCCTGTCTAGTGAGCACACGCCCACATGCACACACACATAGAATAACTTGTAAATACATTTAATATTTGTAACTATAAAAAACAGACACAAAAGCTCTGTGAGTTTCAGTTTACCAAAAACTTAAAAAGTCTAGTAAAGTGAAATTTAAAATAATTCAGTCACTGAGAAGGGAACTAGATTCCAGCTTACGTGGATTTTCAGTGCTGGACCTTTGGCCACACACATGCCCTCGATCTGCTGCCAAGCTATATCCCCAGCTTTTTTTTTTTTTTTTTTTTGGAGACGTGGTCTCATGTAGCACAGGCTGGCTTCCAACTTGGAATGCAGCCAAGCACTGGTACCATCAGCGTGCGCTACCATGCCCTGCTCCAAAACATTTTAAATAGAAAATATTGATGTTTATAAATGGTAGACAGTTCTCAAAAACAGTTTAGCTTTCCATACTCAATCATATGTTTTAAACATTTTTTTCTCTCTACTTTGATTTTATTTTGTTTGTTTTTGAGACAGGGTTTTACTATGTAGTTCTGATTGGCCTGGAACTCACTGTGTAGACCAGGTTGGCCTTGAACTAAAGGCCCATGCCACCATGGCCAGCCTCAACTTTGCTTTTTTGTTTAATTTTACTTCCTGTTTGGTTTTAATTTCTAATGGTGAAGCCTGCGGACAGTAGCTTCCTTATTCCCACTGTCTCTCAACAATTATTCCAAGCTCAGAGCCAGCTCACCCCAACTCCTCCCATACCCCATTCTCAGATGTGCAGGTCCTAAGGAAGCTCCAAACTGACCTTCTTCTGAAATTTCCTCCAAGTGGGACAGCAACTGTTCATAGGCACTGTTCTCTTCTGGGCTCTCCTGCAGGGGTGGGCGTGGGACACAATGCAAGGCAGACTGAGAGACCTGTTTCTAGGACTACAGGTGGAGGCCTGAACACGGGATAGGGTCCCGCAGTCTTTCCCCCACTCCCCGCCTCTAAGAATGCTGGGGGATATAAAAATCTTATTATTCAAATTCTATTACTCTTGCTTTACAAATGAATTAGCTTAGTGTGCTGGATTTCAATGGCAAACTGAAGGAGGAGGAGAAAATTTACTAGATGTTTGGCCCCTCGGTGATCTGGGCTATTTCCGAATACACTCCATAGTCTCCTGAAGAAAACCATAATACACATTGTACTGTGTTACCTCTGCATTCGCTCTGATAATTCATGAGTCTGACTCTGGGAGCGTAGTCCTGCATGCTACACCTGAGGCACTTGTCTGAACTTCGTGCTGGGAACCTCACACTAGTGAGTGACTTCCTGGCTTCCTCTTACCATGGCTAATGCATTCTTGATCACTACAGGTACAAAGAGGTCACTGAATACTGCATTTCATGACAGGGAGATGATGGATCACAGAAGTGGTAGAGAAGTGACTCCTCCCTAGGCCCAGTGTGGGATTCCCTGAATGGTCCACACTCTGTCTCTGCTCATCATGTTCTCTCTCTGTGTGGGACATTCTTCCTTTTTCCCACCAGTGAAGGATGTAAGTTTCACCTCCTCTGTGACCACCATTTTTAGTGTTCTTCACTTATGACTGTCAAGTCAGCCTTTGCTCTGTCTGTGGGCTCCTTAAAGGAAGCCTTCTTGTAACCTGTTCCCTGCTGCTGCTGCTGCTGCTGCATGAACAAAGGAGTGCATGGAGCTGACAGCTAATGGACCAGCTTGAGAGTGCTGGAATCAAGTCTCTGCTAACAAGATGCACTGAACCCATGGGATACAGTGTCAAGGGCGGTACCTGCAGAAAGGCAGCCAAAACAGCCAGGCCTCCCGGGCGACCCACGGCTTCATGAAACTCTGAGAAAGCAGTACTGAGGTGAACCACGTGGATCTAGAAGAGTGTATGGATCAGACTGAGGCCAGAGCTCCGAGCACACCCTCCTTGTCCCTCTTGGGACAGCCCGATGCCCACCTCAGCAGGGAAACGGTGGCCATTGACAGTGTGCTCTGAGCCGGGGCGATCTGAAGTCCCCCAATGTAGATGCAACTGCAGGGCCCGGTATTCCTGCCCAGGTCCCAGTGCCATCTTCAGCCCCGGTGGCAGAGTCAGCTGTACTGCGTGGGGGGTGGCAAGGGAGCAATGTCCACCCACCCGCGGGCACCAGCAGAACCCCCAGGCACAGCTTAATTGCCACACCCCTCCGTAGGTCCCGCCCCAGACACCTCACCCGTGTGGCCGTTGTTGAACAAGCTGAGTTCCGGGAGAGGCTGGAGCTCATAGCCCAGTAGTTCCAGGGGTTGCAGGGCGCGGCAGAATGAGGTGAGCTCCAGGCGGATATCTACAGGGGACTGAAATCGGCCGGCACAGGCTGGGGACACCTGGGGCCAGAGTAGGGTGCCTGGGATGAGAGGGAAAAAGTGCAGGAAATCTGATGATTAGGACAAGAACCGTTAGGATAAGTAGGGGGTGGAGTCAGGAAGCTCGGAGGCGGGAGTGAGGTGGGGGGAGATCAGAGACCAGACTAGAGCTAGTATTGGAGATGGGAGGGGGAGGGGGGACCCGGAGATCAATAGGGCTGGACTCCCAGATTAGGTCTGTGTAGGAGGCAGTGGCTTACCTCTATAGCTCCAAAGACCGTGGCCACTCCCTGCATAAATAAGAAGAATTAATAAGCCCACTCTTCCAGCCCAGTCACTTCCCAGTGTCCAAAATGAAAAAGATTCCCTCCGGCTCCGGTGGGGCCTCACAGCCCCAGATGTCTGACAAGAACGTGCGGGTAACAGAAGCAGGCTGGGTGCAAAGCATGGTGGCCTGCCACCAGCTGTGACTCGGACACTGGGCAAAGTTTGCAAAGGCCAGGGTCTGGAGAGTAGCTTCAGTCTGCAGGTCCAAATCAGTAGATCGTACGTCCTTTTCTCGGCTCATCTCACCTTCCCACTGTCTCTTTCCTGTCTCCAGCTTCTTCCCCAAAGTTCCTACCTTAGAGCCCAGTGTGGCCGTGCACACCTGAAATCCCAGAACTCAGAGGGAGAGACAGGGGGATGGCAGAAAATAGTTCAAGGCCAACCCGATCTATACAAGAAGACCCCGCCTCACCCCTTGCCCCTCCCCAAGCAAACCCAAGTTCCTCTACCTGTTGATTGCTTCTTCTTACACTGCAATTGAAAATGAGTGACAGCTGTATGCGCTCTGCAGGCCGTCTCGGACCCCCGTTCTCTCCTCGTCCGTCATTCTCTCTCTCTCTCTTTCTCTCTCTCTCTCTCTCTCTCTCTCTCTCTCTCTCTCTCTCTCTCTCTGTCCATTCCTCAGTCCTATTTCCACTCCCACTTCCCCCTTTCTCTTTTCTCATCTCTCCCAACTATTCTCTCCTTTAGGGGAAGGACTACCTAGTAGAGTACAGTTTTCTTCCTGCATGCTCTGCTAGGGTTGGGGTGTGCGGAGGGGAGGCCTGAAACGACCTGAGCCTCGATTTGGAAGCTGATGACCACTTACCTTTGCCGTCCTTGTGGGGACCGTGACTGTCCTCAGGAGGCTCAACAGTGGGTAGATCCTCTAACTTCAGGGAATCCTCCTTTGGGGCTTCAGAATTACCTCCAGGTGGATCCTCCCCACCAGGTGGATCCGCCTCTCCAGGTGCATCCTCTTCACTGGGCAGATGCTCCACGCCCAGGACATCCTCCCCAGATGAACTTTCTCCCAAGGAGGGCTCCCCCTGCATCCCAGACAGGCCCTGGGGATGAGCAGGCACTAGGAGCAGCAGCAACAGCAGCAGCGGTACAGTAGGGGCCGGGATTAGTAAAGGGGGCCAGGGGCTGGGGCCCAGGGCAGCCATGCGACTGACTGGGGTGTCCCAGGACACGGTGCGTACGGGCTGTACGTGCATCGGAAATAGGAGCTGGGTGGGGGAGGAGCAAGCCTTGAGGGGAGCAGGCTGACTCACAGAATGCCCTTCTGTAGAGATGGAGCCAAAGTCCCACAGGTCTGTCTGGCCCTGTGCCCCCTCCCCGAGATACCGAAGCCTGGACACAGGTCGGGTAAGAGGTAGGGTTGGGGTGATAGGCAAGTGTGTTCACAGGCAGAAGGTTATCAGGGTCACCAGCTCAGCTTGGAGCCCATGGCACCACCTGGCGCTGTATAGGTTCTCCGTGGCACCACCCAGCTTCTGCCCGCAGTCTCTGCTAGGCCTGGCCTGCTTCCCAGCCCTGGCAGGGAAGGGGAAAGAAGGGAGCTGGGCCCCCGTGTAGTTGGGTTGAGGAGACAAGAAACCCGTGTATAAATCCTGCCCCAGTCAGGTCTCAGGTAAAGGGCCAGGTAAAGACACTGGGGGAGCCTAGGGTTGAGTAGGTGGAGGGGCACGTGGGTAAGCAGGAGGCAAATTTGAGCATGAATGTTTGAGTATATATATGAGACTCTGATGGCTCCCCCATTGCCTGCCAAAGTATGACCATTTTCTTTTTCCGACTTCCAGGTCTACAAAACCTCACCCAAGAAACATTCAGTCTTGTCTCTTGCTTTTCCCCTTAATGTTCCTGTCAGATTATTTATATTTGTGTGTGTGTGTGTGTGTGTGTGTGTGTGTGTGTGTGTGTGTGCATGTGTGTGCACAATTTTTTGCCTCTCCCCCCCCCACTTTGTTCTTGTTTTTCAGTGCTAGAAACTACATCCAGGGACATGTGTACCACCAGGCAAGTGCTCTTCCACTGAGCCACACTCCCAGCCCTAAACTATTCATTTTTTTCCTTCAAACCGTTTATTGCCTTTTTGAATCTAAGTCTCAGTGCCCAGAAGGCCACTCCTGTTTGCGTTCTGTATTCATTTAATACCTGCAGCATGCTAGGCGGTGGCCTAGGGATACGGAAATGAAAATGAACAGTCCCTATCTGAGGAGTTCTCTCACTCCAGTGAGTGAGGACACATATTATCATAATTCTGCCTTGGGAAAGTATGGAAGTGGGCAAAATCTGATCCCACCTTTGAAGAGGAAGGAGCTCCATGGGGATGTGGGTGCTAATCACAGCAAGGAGAATCGTATTCTGCGCAAAGAAGAGGCATGGGATATTTTGAACAGAGGCTGGCCAGATGGCTCAGTGGGTAAAGGCACCAAGTCTGATGATCTGAGCTGGACCCCCAGAATTGACATGGTGGAAAGAGAGAACCATCTCCTACAAGTTGTCCTCTGTCCCTCATGGGTGCCATGGTACGTGTGTATGTGTGAATATACAATAATAAGAGATGTAAAAAGAGCCGGGCGGTGGTGGCACACACCTTTAATCCCAGCACTTGGGAGGCAGGCAGATCTCTGTGAGTTTGAGGCCAGCCTGGGCTACAGAGTGAGTTCCAGAAAAGGCGCAAAGCTACACAGAGAAACCCTGTCTCGAAAAACCAAAAAAAAAAAAAAAAAAAAAAAAATCCAGTTTTCATATTAGGCCGGGTTGGAGCCTACCATGAGCATGGATTGGACCGGGGGACTGGGTATACAGAAGTGGGACAGAATGAGAATGGACGTGAGGCTCCCAGTCTATCCATTTAATGAACATTTACTGAGCTCTTCCAATCTTCCAGATGCTGCTATTGTCCTTCAGCATGCTGCATAGAACAGAGGACAACTTTTAGTTCTGCAGCTCACATTCTCAGGAGATCCCCATGGCCTCAACAAATCACAAAAGAATAAGGCCATTTCATGCCCCTATCTAAGATTATACCATGAACATTCAGCAGAGTGGGTGCATAGGTTAATTGAATACCTTGAGGTAGTTTTAATCCTGTAGCATATTGCTGTATCCAATGGCTCCAGGTAATTCTGCTATCCAGATTCTCTTTGAGTACCTTCTAGATGATTCCTGATCTAAAGGGTAATACCTGGGACAGAAGGGTCCAAGGAACCTCATCTGAGGGACTCAGGTTTAACTTTAGTTATTAATGTTTGTAAACCACCATGGTGCTAAATGTTTTCATTATCTTACTTTTCTTAATCCCTTCTGTTCTGACTCAGATCCCAACAACTTTTCCAGGAAACTTTTCTTTTCTTTTTGGTTTTTTGAGACAGGATTTCTCTGTGTAGCCCTGACTGTCCTGGAACTCGCTCTGTAGACCAGGCTATCCTGGAACTCACAGAGATCTGCCTCCAGAGTGCTGGGATTAAAGGCATGCACCACCATGCTTTTAATTTTTAAGTGTGTGTGTGTGTGTGTGTGTGTGTGTGTGTGTGTGTGTGTGAGAGAGAGAGAGAGAGAGAGAGAGAGAGAAGATACCCACAGAAGCCAGAGATGTTGGATTCCTGTGTGCATGTGGGTGCAGGCTTGTGTGTATTTGGATCTGGAGGCCAGAGGGCAACTTTGTGGAGTCAGTTCTCTTTGACCTTTATGTGGATTCCAGGGGTCAAACTCAGATTGTCTGTGGCCACAGGTACGTAGAGGACCATACTGCAAGCTCGAGCTTGGGGGCTACATGGATACTTTCTTCCAACATCAGTCTCAGCTTTTATTCATTTTCCTTCTTTCTAAACATTCTGAACATTTCCGCCTTGTCAGGATTTCCGTGTACTTCCTGGCAGCTCCATGATCCACACCTCTAGGTATATCTCTGCCTCCATTTGTAGGCTTCCTCTCATGTTCAGGCTTGTAAGGCAAGTGCCTTTATCTGCTGAACCATCTTGCTAACCCAAGGAAGGAAACTTTTTTTTTAATTTTTTTTTTTCATTTTACATACAAAACCACTGTTCCCATCCCCCTTCTCCCATCCCCACCTCCCCCCCTCCATCCCACCCCCTCATTCACTCCTCATGGGGGTAAGGCCAAGGAAACCTTTCTTAACCAACCCTCTGCCTCCAATCTGGAAGAGTTCAATGGTGCCTCTGAACTACCATTGTACTGCGCTTGACCTCATTAATAATCTTGCTCACACTTTAATTCATATTGCAATGATTTATGACATTTTATCTGCTCTACTAACCTGTGTTCCAGGAGGGCAGGGTTCAAAATTTGAGTCAATTTTTTTATTCAACAACTATTATCAAGCATTTTCTCCTTGCAGAACACCTTGCCAGGTACTCTTATCTTAGGGGCTCAACTGTCTTCCCCCCCAAAAAAAACCCTCCTTCTGTTGTTGTTTGGGACATGGTCTCATTATATAGTCCAGGCTGGCTTGGAACTCTCTGTATCCTCAAACCCTATATATTCTTCTTGCCTCAGCCCCTTATGTACTGAGATTACAGGTATATATGACTGCGCCGGACATTAAATCAGTTTTATGATACTTCAAATTGTCTGCCTTGTCTGTCAGTCATATTGCACATCAAGATGTCTATGACTGAATAAAGCTGTCCTCCCCATGTCCGTAGAAAGTAGCCAAGGGTCCTAGGTTGCCTTTTGGATGGAGTTCAATGACAGAGTACTTGCCTACCATGCACAAGGCCCTGTTGGCCTTTCTGAAGCTAAATTCAGCACTATCCATGACATTTTGACCCATCATGTACTCTGGCTAGTTGGTTGTTTTCAGAACCTTGCTTGGACTCTGGCATGTGGGAGGACCGTGGTAATATCTGAATTGGATGGGCTTGTTGAAGGCAGACTGTGGTGATAACTAGTCTAGTCTGGGAGGGAGAGGCCACGGGAGCATGGATGACCATACTGCACATTGGAGCTGGGGGCTGCATGGCTCCTTCCTCTAACACCGAGCTCAGATTTTGTTCATTTTCCTTCTTTCTAAATATTCTGAACATTTCAGTCTTACTTCCTGGAAGCACCATGACCCCACATCTCTTCCTCCCCTTCGTAGGGCTTTGTGTCTGTGCTTCAGAGCACAGGTGTGCTTGTAGGTGCAGCATTCTGTTCTAGTCCACTAACTTTCCCAGTGTTCTTCTCTACAGCTCCATGTCCCTTAGTCTTACAGCTCTCCGTGTGTCCATTTCCTTGGTTCAGGTGGAGACATGGACTCTGATCCTGGATCACACCTTTATAATCAGGAATCTGCCAAACCCTAAAACAAGCTAGAGCTCTCAGAGTTCTTGGATCCTGAATCTAACCACCTGGGACACTCCCAGCCTGGCACAGGACACCTCCACAGTTGTTAAAGCCAAGTCTTTGGTCACTGGGATCTGTGTCTCCAAACCCTGACAAACACATTCCTAAAACAGGTTTCTGATTAGCCCTGGGCTACAGAAGAGGGAACTAGTCACTGGTAGAGCAGGAGAAAAGTCCCCTTCTCCCTACTCATAGATTGGAAGCCAAGAATAGAGCTGTTTTGAGGTCTTGAGGCTGTCCTGTAGTTCTGGCCCATCACACTGTTATTGCTAGGCCTATCATAAAAATTACCATAAACCCATAAACCAGGTGTCTTATGGCAATGTGATTTTTTTAAAATCTCAACGTTCTATAGGCCTTAAGTCTGAAGTTGTATTGGCAGGCCCAGGCTACCTCAGAGGCTCAGGGAAAGACTCTTTGGTTGCCACTCCTGGATTCTGGTGGTATGTACCTTGGAACCCATTACTTGGGAGGCAGAGGGAGGTAGATCTTTGTGAGTTTGAAGTCAGCCTGATCTACATAGGAAGTTATAGGCCAGCCAGAGTTACATGGTGAGACCCTGTCAATAATAATAATAATAATAATAATAATAATAATAATAATAATAGACAAACAAAAAACATGTGACAACAACAAAAATCTGAGTTATATTTGCAAAATCCCCTTTTCCAGATAAGGTTACACTTGCAGGTCTGGGGGTTGGCCATGGACATGTCTTTACATAGCCACCATTTAGTCCATCAGTGTAGTGGAACTGAGTGGATACATGTCAAGAAGTCCTTAGTGTGTCTTCTCAGCCTTGCCCTCTTCTAGCAATTAGATAATA